AAAAAATTAAGGAGTTTAGCCTGAGCTGGCTTGGAGGTGACAACGGGGGGAGGATTGGGGAAGTTGAATGGAAAGGCAGCCAAAATGACCTCGGGGAAGGACAAGAGAGGTGGGATCTAGTAAGGGACTATCGGCTCGTCTTTCATGACTGGACTAAGATTGACACAACAATTCCTATGAGACCTAGTGAAGACTTCTCTGATCCCTTCCCCACCCCTTCAAATTGTTTGGTTGGTCCGGACTGGTATGGGCGAGATTGAGGACTCCAGGGACCAGTGGTATGGAGGAGGGGGTTCGTAGTAGGCCCATCCTGCATAATGATTATCCTCTGATATGTTTTCCAAAAGCACAGTACTTGGGAAGAGACAGTTCAGATTGGGGCTGGTGGGGGGAGGGAGGTACTAGGGTGTTGCAGTAGGTATCTGGCGCCGGTTCTAAGGTGAAGAGGTTCCCCCCTCCCCCCCTTCCTGCTCAGTCAATCCCCTGGATGCCAGGGTAATCAATGCTGGCAGGACTCCCCCACAACGGTTCTTCTTTTGACATACTGCAAATTCAATCTGTATATGGGACGCTGGGCCCGTTTCCCAGCAGGTGATGCTCCCCACCAATAGATGGAGCCTCACCCCAGGTATTAGTGGTGTCTGCTCTTATCAGCACCACTAACACTGGCGGGGGCGTGTTATTCCAAAAAAAAGAAAAAAGAAAAAAAAAAAGGGCAATTCAAAAAGGGTATACTAGCACTCAGCCCAGGCTTTCAGGTAGGCATATGACTAAGGTTGCAGAGTTGCTCTGATTGTCAATTGTCCCCCGTCTATGGGGGGGGCCAGCAGCCTGCAGTCATCATGGTCACAAGGCTATCCAATCAAACTGATATGATGTTCAGGGATGCTGGACCCGATTTCCAGCCGGTGATGCTCCCCACCTCTAGATGGAGCCCCCGAGAGTGCTAGAGGTGGCTGCTCGTATCAGCACCCCTATCATCAACTCGCGCTGTTTCCCAGAAGAAGAAGAAGAAAAAAAAAACTCAAGACCAGAACTGAACCTCCCCAAGTAGGGCGCGGGCCCGGCTGTCTCTGCAAGGTTCGAACTGAGATAATGTTTCTTTCTTGCCTTGGGCAGTGGACCCTTGGACGTCGTTTGGGCCTGAAATCGGTTCCATATGCCCCTACCGGTACCGGTGCCAAATTTCCAGTATGCCCCTACCGGAAAGCCATTGGGTACCGTCATCTCGAATGGTATGTTCTCGGATGTACATGACCCTCCTAGCTCCACAGCTTTCTCAGAGAGAGAGAGAGAGAGAGAGAGAGAGAGAGAGAGAGAGAGAGAGAGAGAGAGAGAGAGNAGAGAGAGAGAGAGAGAGAGAGAGAGAGAGAGAGAGAGTTGGCAGCAATACAAAGGAGCTGAAGGAGGAAGAGGAGAGGGAGGTGGAAGTAGACGAGGTGGCGGTGGCGGTAACTCCGACAGTTTCGAGGATGTGGTTTGTTGGTCGTGGCGGGGCGTTAATGGSCCAAGCAACCAATGGCACGACTTTGTGCATGCATGCACAAGACTTAGTGTACACCTGTACACGTGCCGAGCAACAGAGGTGAGCACTGAGCAGTGCAGCAAGGCAAGAGCAACAGAGAAGAGCGATTTTCATCCCCCCATGACCGTGCTGAACGGGGTTGTGATAGTGACAATCGTGCCACACACACACACAGACCGAGAGAGAGAGAGAGAGAGAGAGAGAGAGAGAGAGAGAGAGAGAGAGAGAGAGAGAGAGAGAGAGAGAGGAGTGGAAGAAGGGGAGTAACACTCACCTTCGGCAACGTACTCCGAGGACGTCCAAGGCGGCGCCAGGTCGCAGTAGCAGAAGAATGAACTCCACGGTGGATTGCAGCAGTGGACAGAACGTGGAGTCAAGTGCTGTTTTTTTGCGCGGCGGCGGCCTGGAAAGCAAGGAGTTTGAATTTGAATTCTTAGGGCCTCCCCGTTGGAGGGCATCCCAGGAAGATGCATCCATCGCGAAAGGGCAAATCGAACAGCCACCACGGGAAAGGGGACCGGCGGTCCGGTAGGGGCATTCCCAAAAGTTGCGCCCCTCACTGACAGGGGCCTGCACGAAAGTTCGTAGGCCCCAGGGGCAAATCAGGGTAAGTCAGTCGTCGGAGGGGCAAAACGCAAATAAACGCAAACTTCAGGGGCATTTCGAAAATTTTCCCAAAAGAAAAAGCACAAAAAAAAAAAAAAAAAACACCACCTCAGAATATAAATCCATCTCAATTTCTCTGCCATCGGATTCTCCTGCATCACTGGTCGGACGATGTCCCGCAGATGTCCCATAGGTGTTTGTGGGACACAGTTTACCTTACTCCTTTGCTAGTGGAACCGTGCTCCTAGAGTGTCCATTTTAGTGTTCATAGTAGTGTGACTAGTGTCTATAGATTTTCTTCAGGATAAGGTTACATTTGTTTTTTTTTTTTGCTTTTTTTTTTTAATTTAAAAGATCATTCATTTCCAGACTGAAAAACATTTGAGGCCGGGGACCTCACAATTCCACCTGGTAGTTATCCCGGCAGCATCAGCCGGTTTAGCTTATCTTTCCATTCTCACACTTAAAACTGCATTATTCTTGCAACTCAAAGTCTAACTAGGTCGCCTTAACGCACTTAGTTTATTCTCCTCAAACAACTCCCCAAGGAAGTCCCTACTATCCTTCCTACCAAAGCTAACTACAACAGTACACAGACCTCAAGACGCTCTGAACTTGGTCAAAAACTGACCAAGGGGAATACCAATTTCCTACCCACCTACCTGACACTCTCCACCCTCCCCTACTCTTGCGGTCTACTTCAACCGCCGACTGGAACCGAGTGTCCTGGTTCTAACAAAACCGCCTCATCTGTTCTCTATCCAACTGCACAACACCAATTTTCCATCTGGGTTAATCTTCGCTAACTGCTCTCTGACACACCAAATCTTACGAAACCAACTTTCGCCCCCTGACCTGTTTCCCCCCAGGACTTTCCGACTCCAGTCTGCTTTTATTGCCGCCATCAAAAGGAGCTTGAATGTGGCTCCCGCCTGTCTGTCAGACATGCCTTCTTTCTTGAATCTCAGGCCATTTCTTTCCAGCCAAATGACCCAGAGTAAAATTGCTCTGCAGACTTGGGCAATGTAACCCCACCCTTCCTCTCTGCTAAAGCCTTCTGGGACAATGCCCAGCAGGGCCCAGCGTTGACCGATGAAATCTGACAACCCTGTAAACCGCTTCCAATGGTATTCCCACCAAGTCCACCATTTCCGAGACTTGGGACAGTCCCACCATAGGTGCCTCATAGATTCTGGTCTGGTCCGACACCGGTCACAGACTGTGTCTACCGCCATACCTTTCTCTATAAGCCAGGCAGCAGTAGGAACCGCCAGGTGGGATTGCAGCCAGAGCAAAGATACCAGTTTTTGAGACGGGAGAAGCTCGAGTTGGGCCCAGATCCGACTCAATTCCTTGTCTGTCGGCGGGGGCTGATCTGGAACTTCTCTCTGCCACCTTGAACCAATTTTCGTTACCGCTCTGTTGGGGCCTGACTTCAGTTTCTGGAGAAGTTTCACATTCAGCATATCCAATCCCATTTCCGTGCCATCTTCCCATTTCCAGCCCCAGACCACTGCATCTATCCTTAGCTGTCTCAGAGGAGTCCCATTGCAGATCAAGAGCGGGATCATTGGAAAGCCTTCTTCTTCTGGACTTTGCATTTTTACTCTTACCTCCACAAAACCATTTAAGCCGTAATGTAGTTGCATTCCCACCTGCTCCAGTCTGGGCTGGGTCGGGTTCTCCTGTTTATATGTCTCCATCCAGCATTTGCCCAGCCCATCTTCTGTCCAACTTTCCAATCTGAGAAACAGTTCTGAATCGCCCTCCACCCTCTTGTACCATGAGCCTGGACAGTCAACACCTACCGGACCCAAAAGGTCCTTCCAGTCCGGTGGTATAGACCTTCTCAGCTGCTCTGCTCTAACTTCTTGTTCCGGGAGTTGTCCTAGGACCACCTTCAACTGCTGTGGCGTCTTCAATTGATTCGTCAGATTATCCCACAGATCCCCCACCGTCGACACACCCTTTTGCAGCCAGCTTAGCGAGAAATTGCCCGGTCTCCTTTCCAGAGAGAACCAATTACCCACTTCATCTCTGATCATCTGGTTTTCGAAGAGCGGTTGTCTTCTGACTTCTTCTTTGGTCTTTGGAGGGCACAGCAGGTCCTGTTTGGCTTTATTCCATGCCAGAAGGACGTCTCGCCAGAATCTAGACCTCGGACGCCGTCTGCTGAATGTATCGGACATGATAGCTACCCATACATCACTTGGCCTGGAAAACCCCCATTCCTCAGCCAGCAAAGCCTCGACTAACAGAATCCAATCTGCTTCCTGGTCTCCCGTGGCCACCCTCACCAGCCATTTTGCCAGTAGGGCTGTATTCTGAAGGGCCGGGTCTATCAGCGCCAGGCCACCTTCTTCCCTGGGCAGACATATGGAATCCCAAGCCACCTTTGAGATATAACCTTGGTCCGCTTCGCTGTCTGGTTTCCAGATGAACCCTCTGGCTGCACTTTTGGTTTTAGGGATACAAGTCACAGGCGCGCCGCGGCCATGCTGCGGCAGGCGGGGTGCTGGCATGTGACCCCGTGGCACCAAAGATGCGGCGAGAGAGAGAGAGAGAGAGAGAGAGAGAGAGAGAGAGAGAGAGAGAGAGAGAGAGAGAGAGAGAGAGAGAGAGAAATTTCCATTCATAGGATGAGCAAAATGGGAATCAATCTGTCGCTAGAGCAGTGGATACTTCCATGTTCCAGTGAAGCGTGGCAATGTCGATCTTTGTGTGTGTGTGTGCAGGATGAGCAAAATCGGAATGAATCTTCAGACAGAACATGGAAATATATGAGCAAAATCGGAATGAATCTTCCACTACAACATGGAAATATACACTGCCACTTTTTTCCTTCTCTTTGTTTTTGTTTGTTTGTGTGTGTGTGTGTGTGTGTGTGTGTGTGTGTGTGTGTGTGTGTGTGTGTGTGTGAGAGAGAG